AATCCCCACACAGGGTGTATCTAACTAGGGATGTTGAAGCTACATTCTTGCTGCCTGGCCGTCCGCAAGGGACTGAAGCCGACACGTCCTGGAAATCATTGCTTCAGTTTGGCGATCGACTTGAGGACAACAACGGGTGTATCAACCGAAAATCGTGTCTTGCGAAGCCTAGCTTAAGTACTGAAAGGTTACCGTTGGCTGTTTTGCATTTAACATCAAACCCTGAAGTGAAAGAGATCTGGGTGTTTCTCCGTATCAACCACCATTTGGGGTGAGATCGGGTGAGTTTCTGCAATTCCCCCAGAATCCGGCGACCAGAGGACCGGGGGAACCAGGGATCAAAGGACAAGGAGCTTGGAACGGCGTGGGAGTTCTGACGCCGGCAAGTATTCATGACTTGTTGCAAGACTTGATGCCCCAATCACAGTGTACCTTTGCGATCCGTCTGAAATCCAGCACCGAACCAGCGTAAGATACAACATGGAATCCTACAGCAATTTTTCAAGTAACTTGCAGGGAATCCCCAGGGCACCTCGCGATGGAGTGTTCTTCTTTAGGAAGGGTGATGAAACGGCTTCTAGTCAGAAAAAGCAAAACCCCAGGACCACACAACAACGCAACAACCCTGAGTAGAGGCAATTCTCTCTACAAAGGTAAAACGCAACGACTTCTACAGCTGGAACTTCCAAACAAAAACCAGACCCTAAACTCAAAAGGATCGCTATCCCCAAAGAACCCAAACCCCCATAGCCTGAAGAAACCCTAAAGCCCCCAGACAACTCCTAACCCTAAACCCTACAAAGCCCGTGACCTTTCAGAACCTGAAGCCCAAAACTTTGGAGGCCCCACCCTAAAGAATAGGAAGTGGTGAACTTGGGCTCACATAGGGGTATGGTCAACCTTCAACCTTACTTGCAGGGTCAGGGGGCTTAGGAAGTATACTTGAAACCCTAAAACCCTAAACCCTATAAAACATAAACCCAATACTTCTTGAACCTCTATAAGCTGCATAAGACGCCCATGAAAAACCTAAGCCCTATAAAACTTAAACCCAATACTTCTTGAACCCCTATAAGCCGCATAAGAAGCCCATGACCCCAATCATCCCTCTAGCAAACCGACTTACTGTCCACCGACTCAAGTGAACCCGTCACACTAAACCCTAAACCCTTCAGCCAAAGGCTCTTATGAAAGTTGACGATGGCCCATCCTAGACCTTCGGCCTGAAACAGCGCAAAATCTGGGGGTTTAGGGTTCAGGGAATGGTTTTAGGGTTTAAGGTTTCAGGGAATGTAGGGGCCCAGAAATCAGGTAGGGTCTGGGGCCTCGGGCCTCGGGGTACATTCTACGGTTTAGGGTTTCATTAGGGTCCAAGCTTCAACATCATGCAGGCTTCGTAGTTTTGGGACCGGGGACTTGAGGGTTTGGGCGGCAAATGAACCTTTCTGATCTAAGCGCATGTCCCGAGTTCACCAAAAACCCTATACGGTTTCCGGCGCAAAATCTGCAAATCCAGCCCAGTAGCATTCTTGCTGAAGGCCGCCCGCAGCCCTTCCTGCATCAGGGTCTGCCATACTTGAACGCTTGATGTAGGACCGTGTCATCTTTCCAAGCCTGCTAACCTTTTACTTTACCGGGCTTCCTACTTGTCCAGGAATTACCCTAGACACTGGGGGAATTAAGGTTGACGTTTTGGTTTATATCGGGGTTGAAGACATCTCAAACAAAAGCTTGAAAGGTTGCTTAACAAATGGTTCGCCCAGGAGTCAGGGCAATTCTCACTGCCAGGTTTGCAGCATGCACATGGGAGTTTACTGATCCAACCTCTTGAGCATTGCTAATCTCTTTCTTGTTTTGGGAACTCCCCAATGTAAGGACCATCTCATCATGCATATCGACGGAGATATCTTTGGAAAATCAGTTCACTCATTTTTTCGGCCTGCCCAACGGTGTCAGGAATGCCGCTATGGCTGTGAAGCTTAAAAAATCCAACTTCTGTTGGGGTTAGGGTTTCTTTGGAAACCCCGCTACTATCAAAAGGGTAGACTCAGGAAACTCGACTTCAGATAAACTGAGAATTTGACCTCTTCAGCGAGGCTGCAACGCCTGCTTTGAATCATTTGTTTCTCTGTGTGGCCTTGCGGTTTTTCCTTACAGTACGCACTAGGTCGATCCTCTTGAACATTGCTAATTCGGGTTTAGGGTCTAGCCCTAGACCCTGAATGCTAGCCCTAGGGCGCACGCATTCGCATCCTATTATTGGGAAATTCTCCGACTGGGTAGTTCTGACTGGGGTAACCATGCAGTATTGATGAAGAATATGTGGGGCACCACAACCCTGGTTATAGCACCCTCCATGAACACGCCTTGAACATCTTGTTCAGGGAATTCGACATGGCTATTGAGATGCCCACGTCAATAAGCGTCACCTCGAGATTTTCCGATTTCAGGGTCAAATATGTTTTGAGCCTGTAGGACTGTTGTACAATCTTGCTTGTTTTTGTGGGCTGCTGCCGTCAAGCACACCTCGCAACTGATACCTGTGGCCTTATGGCTTTTCTGAGGCGGCCACATCCACATATACCTTCCCCAAGCGCAAGGTCCCTGTTAGGCGGTAAAGAATGGAAACTGGGACTCCAAAAGGACATGACGTTCTTCCCCCCCATCTTCTTCTCCCTCTCCCCACCCGTGCCGTGCGCTTCTGGTTTGTGCTCCCAAAGACCTTGGAGAAAGTCCTTTCTGCTGAGGAAGGCTTGGCTCGTGGAACCTGGAAGCCATAGCGACAACCTTTTCCCCCTTTCCCATAATTCCAAGCCCGCACGTCTCGAAGCAGATTTGAGCTCAATCTTAAAATTCCCAATCGTGAGATCCTCATCCACAGAGGTCTGATTCTGTAAACCTTTTCTCGGACAACCTGCCGGCTATCCCATTAACTCGCTTCGGCATTGCTTTCCTATGGGTTTGGAGTCGATCCATTTTAGTCACACCTTCTCGCAAGGATTCTGCACGTTATTGACACTACTCCGTCTTCCACTTTCCCTGACGAATTCGGTTGTACCCCTTTCGAATTAATCCACTTCTTCAAATTTATGTTCTGGATTTTGGCAGCTTCAATTTCCTCGAGTCGCGAGCGTACACCTCTCTGCTGTCTTTACTACATTCCCCGTCAAGCAATGATATGAACTTGCATTGTTTGGTAGGCCTGTCTGACTAAAATTTCTGGTCACACGAAGCAACTTGTTTGGTTGATTGGTCCCCCCAGTCATTTGCATGAATTACTTCCCACTGTGTGGTCACTGTTTCCCTTACCTCATGCTGTATTGTTCAAAAGCAATCTGTACAATCTCGACGGTCAATCCTCAATGTTGTGCCTGTCTCACACGGCTGCTCCTATCAATGCCTGATTACAGACTTATTTGATCACTTTCGTTTGGCAATCCTCCCACTATCCATGGCTGTGAAGGAACTCCTGAGTCCCTCTGTATGCTGTACCTTCTTCTATCCTAGTGTCCGCTCTTTGTAATCTGGTAGCCAGTTCGACAAATTCGTTCTTTCCCTCCTTACGTTTCCGGATTTGATTTATTATGTACATCGTCAAATACCCCAGCTGCTGATTTCCAGTGTCTTTGCTTCTCCCAGCGCTATCTCCAGCATAGGCTGGTGCAGGCCACAGTTCTCGTCCCGGTGTTTTCCTTCTTGGTTCACCTTTGGGCCCCGCTGGCCTTGTATTCCCATGCTCGCTATCTGGGTGACTTCCATGGGAGGCAACTTCTCCTTTGTATGTGGCCTGCTTGTCACCTCCATTGCTAGCGACTGTCGCGTTCTTCCTCCTTCTGGTTGTGGAGTATTGCTTGGCTCTGCTTGTTGGCCGCTTTGCTTCTCCTCGTTATTGACTTTGGGAACTTCTTTCTCTCCCTCTTCAAGGTTGCTCCCTCCCGTCTGTGCCTATCACTGTTGTCTTTGCCTTTCTTACCAGCTCATCAAGTCCAAGCCTGGGGTCCACTCGTGGTCCCTCTGGAGGTGGCACCCGCCTTCCTGTGTGTTTAGTAGCTCCTTCTCCGATGTGCGCGTTTTGCAGTGCAGTGCTGCTGTTTTTCCTTGCTGTGCTTTCCTGAGCTCTTCCCAATATAAGGTGGACCATGTGGGGACTTGCCTCAGTTTCCGCCTTTCCTTCTTTGTCTTATTTCCTTGCTCATCCCGTGTTGCTGTCATTCCCGCATGTTCCCTCTGTCTCGCTTCATGGGTCCTCATTGCCGACGAATCGCTTGTCGCTCGCTCTGCCATCATGGAATCATGGACCTTGCAGCCTTGCCTTCCAACCCTGTCAATGAGGCATCTGCTCCAGCTTCATCTTTTTCTCGGCCCATCTCTCCCAGGCTCGATGAAGTCGATTTGGACTTTTCCGCTGTTTTGGGCTACTCTCTCTCTCTCTCTCTCTGTCTCTCTCTGTCTCTCTCTCTCTCTCTCTACCCCAGACCCTAAACTGTGTGGATGCGCGGGGGCTTGGCCAGGATTCAAGTAACTGGTCCCTAACGAAAAGACACTGTTTAAGCGATCCCGATCATTACACAGTCGATGCTAGCAATCCTGCATGACCCTAAGTACCCGGTGCCTTGGGAGTTATGTTGCTATCATACATTAAAGGTCATACAGGACCCTAATCCCTAAATTAGCCTAAAGCTTAAGCCCTAACTTGCTATAGCGCGTTAAAGCCATACATGATTCTTTATTAGTACCAACAGGAAGAATCGAAATCTGGTGAGCTGCGACTTTCCCAAGAATGGGAAAACATGGGGAAAGTTGGGAGATTCATGAACGGTTAATAGGGTCCAGGGTATACGGTTTGGGATTTGCACCGTAGCAGTAATATAGGGCTTACAGGGTATCTAATCTAGGGAATAGTGGAACAGAACATAGAAACGACCATAGAAGGTACCATTGAGGGTATGTAGGGAACTAACGTCCAAAACGTGAAGATTGGACTCCGGCCGCCGGGTGGCTGTTGGCGCCCCATCCTCCTCAATCTTGATGAAGAGGTTGCCTAGTTCTTGATCATCTTGACTGGAGGTCCATGTCGAGAAAGGTTTAGGCTTTAGGGTTCAGGGCTTAGGGTCTCAAATTCGCGGTTGAGGGTCTAGGGGTCAGAGTCTAGCTAGGGTTTGAGGTTTTCAGGCTGCCTCTGGGTATCCTAATGTACTAGAGATGCAGACAGTAGGGGTTCAGGGTTTTGGATTTAGCTTGCTTAGAGTTCTGTGGGGGTCTTTAGATATTCCATCTTCAGAACTTCAGCAACCCAGGTTAAGTAGTGTAAGGTTAGCCTAAACCCAAAGTCTTTCAGTATCTCAGGGTAGACCTCAATCGTTTAGAACAGGTTCATCTATCTATAGATTGACGGCTTGCATGTTGGAGCAAAGGTATAGCTGGGTTAAAATGCGGTGCAAACATGGCCCATGCAGTATGGTAGAACCCTGAACCCAAAAAATACTGAACTAAAACTTGTGGCCCTATGAAGAGCCACCAATGAAGAGCCAAAAGGGCTGGGACTCGTTGACCATTTAATGATTACTATAGGGGCCCGGCTAATGACCAATAGTGGGTTTAGGGTTTGGGCGAATGAAATGGAAAAGAGAATGGACAATGAAATGGACACTGGGTGTATACATGCCAGGAGCTTATGAGGATTATGGAGTGTACAGGCCTGAAGAATAACCAACATAATTTTCCTCGCTATGCGGAGTACCCTATACCACAGGTGTACAATGAATTTAGGACCACACCATACTGTCAGTCATTGATTAGGCTTCTAATGTTGCACTGGCTTTATAAAAGACACTCTCTTTAATGTGTTTCCGCCGCTTGAAGGGTGGCAGCCCATTGTTTGAGGACTCTAGTTTGGGGCCCCTAACCGAATCCAAACCATCCCCCTTAAACTACCCCTCAGGGTCCTCAGTACCGCGGGAGCCGTATTGAGGACGCCAATGGCAAAATTTCTCGGGGCTCTATTGTTCCAGGGGGCCACACTTCTTAAAGTGAGTGCCTCATTACACTGCAGAAGCAACAGGTACCTATGTGTTGTTGGTCCTTCTCTCATGTATCACTCCTACCTTGCAGGGCTCCTGCAAGTTCTGATTCCTAACGCGGGGATTACATGCTGGTCCGCTCCAGGTACGGCATGGGAGCTCTTAGTTTATGACATTCGTCTTGCTCCCAGGAGTAAATGGAATCCTAAGTAATGAACACATGAGTTTCTATCGATGCAACCCTGGGGTGTGTCCGAAGTTGGCTGGTTCTGATCCCAAAACACACAAACCCTGAACCCTATGCCCACAATCCTAAACCCTAAAACCCTACACACAAAGCCCTCCGCAACTCTGAGTACCAAGATGCCAGGATGCAGGTCGCCATGCATGAACCTGTCTTGCATGCCTGCGCAATGTGCTGAGGCTGTGTACTGCGGGCTCAGGGCACTTGCTTCTGACATCTGCCCATGAGCTCCAAGTACCAAAACTACATGTACTTGGCCCCCACTAGAGTACCCCGATCCAAAACCCCAAACCCCTAAACACCTTAAACCGCATCACAGCTAGTTTGAAGTGAGCCACCCATCTTGGCCATCATATCCTCAGCGCAGTGTAGGCTGTAGGGTCTAGGCTTTAGGGAGATGGTTGCTCAGTAGGCATATTACGAAACACTAATCTTATCTATAGTAGTAGCTATCTTAAGGGACCATAGGCCCATGATGGTTGGGCAGCTGGGAATGTCGCAAGGGTTTGTAGAGGTTATGCTGTCAATATGGGAAGCAGGATCCTGCTTGTAGTTAGAGACCCACACCCCGAAAAACGCAGAGGATTCCTTGCATTGACCCATTGAAGCTTGCAGCGCCGCACCCTGCACCTACAAGTAGTATTGGGGTTATGTAGGGAGAATGTGAAGTAAAATGGGAACTACTTAAAAGGGTATATAGGGGATAGGTGGCATGCATGTGATTTTTTTGCGTTCGCGTACCTTCGGCTGATATTTGCCAAAAATGTTTACTTGGAAGCTCAGTTGGACTTAGCAAATAGGTCAACACCGGGAATAGCTAGGGCAATTATATGGCATATCAGGAGGGATTCTAGAAATACTTGCTACGTCCCTTTGACCCTCCAAGCAGTGAGACTCCGGAAATTCCACGCGGGCGTGGAATTAGGGATCGTAGCATGCCTAGGTGAGGTTCTCAATTCTATCCCGACATACTTAGTCAGAAATGACTCTATAACCCTCCTACCAGCCCTATGTGTGATATGAGGATCCGGAACCGCCGTCGTTCTTGAGAACGAAGCCTGAACCCGCAGCCCTACTCCGCAAACCCTGTACGGTCGTGCGAATCCTGAAAGGGACCAAAAGAAACCCAGCCATGATAAGCCGCGCAAACAAGCTCAGGATCTACGAGCAACGCGTGTACGTCGTCTCGCTTCTTCACATCATTCCTTCGTTGCGCTGATGTAGGTTTAGGATTCAGGATTTTGCGAACTTGGGCTGGGCTTACGGTTTCAGGTCTGAGGCTGAGGCTTTCTTCTGGCAGAAAGCCTAATGTGTTGCGGGTAAAGGTTTTGGATTTAGGTATCCAAGTGTTGGAAGTTGTTTGGGCCTTGCAGTAGATCTCCTTGATTCATGCTGCGGTGTTGAGTCATACCACAGCTTACGATCATGCCGAATTCCCCTTGGGGGAGCCCACTCACCAATTGTGTATATTAGGCCCTCATTTATTCCATGATACCACCTAGAACCTAAACTGTAAAGGTGGCAGGTGATCACCCATCACATTTTGTATTCATCTTCGCGCACAGGTGTACTTGAGAGTCGGGCACTTTTCTCTAATCCGTGTTGATTCTGACCTGAGCGGCCAGCAGTCAAGGAGTGCAACAGAAATCACCCAAACAGAGAATTTAGGGGGAAGCCTGAACCCCAAACCTAAACCCTGCTTGGAGTACAGATGTCAGGGCTGGAGTACGCCTTTATCTTATCCAGGCTCCCCGGAGGTTCATTCATGAAACCCGTGCCAAGATCATCCGAGCTACTCTGTTTTCACCCACTTTGACAGTGACGTGCCTGCATGCGATCTTCTAGCAAGGATGTTTCCGACTAGAAGTTGCAGTACGAAGTACACGCCAATATACTATAATTGTAGGCCTCCAACAGGGTGCTCCTGATTTCTAGAAAACCCTAAATGGCAGATGTGGTCTCAGAGCATGTCCAGAACTGCCGGGATGGAGATTTTGTAGAATGCACGCTTCTGAGTCTTAGCAGGGAAATCCCTGCCAGCAGGGCCCAAAGCAAGACAGAAGTTGAACAGCCTTAAAGTCTACCTGGCCGACACGCCCTTCATCCCCACCACGGCCCCATTCTGACATTATGGTCTAGTAGTGGAGAACACTAGTAGGGCATTAAGCTGGGTTGCTGTTAAGGAACTTAGAATTAAGTTACCTCCCACAATGGGTATATACAGTAAATAATAGGGTTTCCCCAATATAGTAACTTAAATCTAAGTTCCTTAACAGCAACCCCGTAGGGGGGTGAGTCCTGATCCTTGGTGTTGGTCTCTCCGACTCCCCCCCCCTCCCACCGGCCCAGGTCACCTCTAAGATGCTGAAGGCTGCAAACCTAGGCCTCCGGTGGAAAGAGCCCGGCTTGCACCGATTTGGACATTAAAGAACCCCCTATTTATACTATGTTATACTAAAGGGGCAGTTCATAGTTGACAGGGTAGATAAGGTGGTGCAGGATTTCCTTCATCCATAGTCTCAAGTTCGGATCTCTGAGGCCGCACAACCATCCTGAGAGTCAGGAGTCACGCTTCAGGAGTACGATGTATTGGGGGTATAAAAGAGGGACCTCCATTGTGGCAATGCCTAGGCGCACCACTTCGACGGAGACCATCGGAATTCCAGTAATTACATTCTTGCAGGCCACTACCCGGACACTTGCCACCACCCAACAGCATCCAACTCAAGCTTCTGAATGCTTGCTTGTCAGAACTGTCGTCCACGCGGAAATAGAAACCCCCACCACATGCCTACCTAATGACCAAGACCACTCTTGTGAGCTACGGACATCAAGTCGTTACTGCGCAAGAAAGAATTCTGCCAGACATGAGCTAAAAAGTCCCTAGCCCAAATCTCAACCCCAAAAAACGAATTCAGGGATTCACATTGCATGCCTGGCCCTGAAACCCCAAGTAGCCAGACATCGCCTTCCGCAAGGCCCATGACGAGCACCGCCTCTGTGCTTGCGTAAACGCGAGGCACGAGCACATGTCCTTAAAGTGGAGGGTTTTGGGTGTTTAGGGTTGAGGGTTTCGGTTTCATCCTTTCCGAGGACCTAGGGCTTTGCACTCAGGAAGACAACCCCCTACAGCTCCCGCGTCTTCCCCTAAGCGCTAAACCAAACCCAAAACCCTAAACTTCACTCCACTTGGCCTTAGTTCTTCAGGACCTCCAAAAATACGTGGCCGAGGGCAGAAAAAACAGGTTATGTCGAGCTGTTCTGTAATTAGAGGAGCCGTATAGGATATATATATATATATCTATAGATTGAAGTATATAGCACCAGCTAAAGATAAGGAAATTCGACCATGGTAAGCTGAAAGCCAGTGCTCCCGTTGAAAGCAATGGCGGCTGACGGCTTAAACCGTAGAGACACTGAACCCCAAAGTCGACACGGACCCAAAGGCCAAGAGCATTCCAGGCCTCGAGATGTATGGTGGTGCGGACTTCCATGCAGGACATTGACGGACAGTATGGGGAGGTCCCTACATAATCTCCGTAAGCCTCCTTACTGAGGAGCCCCGCACTGCCCCTATGATCCCCGCACATTATCCCCAGCGTTTCTGAACTCATTTTGAGAAACCCTGTTGTGTGTAGAGCTTCCAAGAAGTGTTCACAACTCAGACCACCGGACGTTGGCCCGATGCGAGGCACAAGGGGCTCCACGGGAGGGCAAGAGAAGGACTAGACCCTAGGAGGGTAGAGTTTTGGGTTTATCCTTTCCAAAGCCAACGTATGAAGGCTTTAGGCCCCCAAACCCATTGAAATGGTAGAATTTGACACTGAACTGGCCTTCATTTGGGTACCCCCACTCTGTGTAGAGAGCACACCAAGATTAGAAACCCACATGCAAGATATTCTTCTTCCTAGAATAGTCACATACGCGTGGGCTGTATCTCGCCTGCTCTGGCATTGAAAATATCCTGGTCTACATCCCCTAGTAACTAAGGAATCAAGTGACGCATTTTTTTGGTATGGGTATCGCCGCGTCATTAAAAACCCAGGCATCAAGTCAATTCGCCAGAGGCTCTATCTGCTTCAAAGTTCGCATCGAACCGCTTCATGTGCTCGGCCTCAATGGTGAGGTTGACCTTGTGCACGGCACAACTTCCCGGTCTTCCATCTTTGGAGTTTGTTTTATCCACGCTTTGGAAACACTTGAGCATACTTATTGGCATGGAGATGTCATTCAGCTTTGCTTGATGCATTTGGATGAAGAGAAGCACCAAGCAATGCCGATCCTGCGCTCTCGACGTAGGAACGGGGGATTTGGGTACACTTTGCCGCAGGTCACCGCACAAGAGCCTCTAAGAAACAGTTCCTGATGAAATAAAGCTTGGAAACTACGACACGATGATATGAAGCCATTTCCGGGACTGTGCAGGCATGGGATATGGCTTCTTTCTTAGGGGCGCGCACTACGAATTAAATTTCACGTTCTGAGCCTGATCCTTCTAAGCATGGCTCTAGCATGGGACGGCTGCTGTCAAACAAGACGAGGAAAGCTTTGTTGCCGGTCTCTCAAGATAGCACCTAAACCCTGACCTCCTTTATACCCAGCGCCTCCTTACTTTTTCCCAAGCGCAGTTCTTCAGGATGCAAGGATCATATAGGGGTTTCTTAAACTTATGGGTACCACTTTGGGGTTCCCATAATAAGAATTATAGTGGATTAGGGTCTATAATGGGGTCCCCTTATTTTGGGAAACTACCATATGGCACTTTGCACACGTCCATGAGGACCTTTCTGCCTGTTGCCGGACGAATAAGGCCACGGTATGCCTACGTCCCCAACCGTCCTTACCAAGGCTTCCCAAAATGAGGGGTACTTTTTTGGGGTTCCCAATAATCAGGATTATAATATTTTGGCGTCTAAAGTGGGGCCCCCACAATTTGGGAAACTAACATACGCCTTGACGGGCGAGACAGCACAGCCTACGTTTCTATCCCAAGACGGGCAGCCAAACCTAACAAAGTTCCGAAACTCAAACACTGTGGGGGGCCTAACTGGTTGCCAATGTTATGGTCTGAGAATCCTCATATACATCTAGCATAGCGTACCTCAAAAGGACCTCATATTGGCACTGTTGAAATCGAAGAACCTGCAGAATTCTAGATACCATATTGCTGAGATTGACGGCGTATAAGGTACTTTGGCTCATCCAGGATTTAGTATCCCTTGTTTACGGTAATGTGGCCGCTTATTTGTCCATTCTTGGGGGGGGTGAAAACCCTAAACCCCATATACATCCCTAGATAACTCCTTTATAACCCGATATCAAAATAGTTTTTACCACAATGCTGAGGAGAATCAAGGCTAGGCCTGTATCTCAGGCTGTTACAGGTGATTCTGGATCTTGCTTGTGTCCTGAACGCATGTTATGTTACGGTACATTCCTAAGGGACCCAAGATAGTACAGACCCCCTAATAAGGACACTTAGAAGGGAACCGAGAGGCTAATTACACGATCTATCCCATTTGGGGGTCCTTTGGGCTAGACCACAACCATGAACGACATACCCCGGCTATGAGCTATGGAGCTATGGTGTGGCCTTCCATGACTCACCACGCCCCTGCATCATGCAAAGCTGCTTGCATTCTCATGTAAGTGCCAAAGTTGTCCACAGCTTCTTCCAGTGCCATCCAGGTCAGGTCTGGATACAGCCCTGGGCTTTTGACTTGGGGCTTGATCTAGAGGCCCCTGAACCCTAAACCTGGAGAACTTATCCAAGCATTATCGGGTCTACTAACTAAGGAAATCCAGTGGAAATAATCTTCCATAATAGCCAACTTGCCAACAAAACGATTGATCAACTACCACTTGTGGCTTGAGGACTTCAAAACACACACATCGCGCTACAGGCATGGGCTTACGCTTCGAGCTTTGGGTGTGTGGGACCTCGGTTGAAGGTTTAGAGTTTCGATTTGCAGGGGTTGTGGTTCCGCACCTCGGTCGGAGGTATTTCAGAGGGCTCACAAAGGGTCTCGGCACGCGATCTGCACTGCAGGCACGGGAACTGTTCCGGGGTCCGAAGGTCTCGGATCGCGAATTTCAGACAGAGTCCAGTTGCGTAAGATGATCCTGTAACCTGACCTTTATTCATCCCACCCTTTGAGCCCCCTGGGCGTCTGCCTTCCTTGATTCTTGAACAGCCTATTCCCAAGCTGTATCCATACGAGTCTAAGGTCCAGGGTCACGGGGTTACTCAACGCCCAAAACCCAAAATAGAGCCAGCTCATGCTCATGATGCTGGGCCAGTTGGAGCGCAGAGCCCAAAACGGAACCAGCTGATGCTCATGATGCTGGCCCTGTTGTGGTGCAAAGCCCAAAACGAAACCAGCTGATGCTCATGATGCTGGGCCAGTTGGGGGGCAAAGCCCAAAACGGAACCAGCTTAGACTCATGATGCTGGGCCAGTTGGAGCGCAGAGCCCAAAACGGAACCAGCTTATACTCATGATGCTGGGCCCGTTGGGGCGCAAAGCCCAAAATATAACCAGCTGATGCTCATGATGCTGGGCCCGTTGTGGCGCAAAGCCCAAAACGGAACCAGCTGATGCTCATGATGCTGGCCCTGTTGTGGTGCAAAGCCCAAAATATAACCAGCTGATGCTCATGATGCTGGCCCTGTTGGGGTGCAAAGCCCCAAATAGAACCAGCTCATGCTCATGATGCTGGGCCTATTGGGGCACAAAGCCCAAAACGGAACCAGCTGA